TCAGAGTACTTCTACTTTTACTAAAGTACAAGATCTGAGTACTTCTACTTTTACTCAAGTACAAGATCTGAGTACTTCTACTTTTACTCAAGTACAAGATCTGAGTACTTCTACTTTTACTCAAGTACAAGATCTGAGTACTTCTACCTTTTACTCAAGTACAAGGTCTGAGTACTTCAGCTTTTTTAAACGAGTACTTGTTTTATGTCAGATATATTTATAATAAATTGTGGGAGGAGCCTGGGACTGTAGCTGTGCATATGAAGATAAAGCTTTTGAATCTTGAATCTTATTAGGTCCAATCTAAACATCTCACATCTCTCAAAGTCCACATCTGTTTAATACTGTGGAGCGATCTCCTCCTCGCCTCCGTAAACCGAGCGGTGAAACCTGTGAGACCTGAGTCTCTGTTTGGATGAACCGCAGCTTAACCTCAATATTTACCCATGAGCCTTTGCTGTAGACACAACAAGATAGCAGTGGCTTTATCTGGCTGATAGTGGGACAGAGGAGGAGTGTTTGACTTCTCTCTAAGTGAGACTGAACGATACAGGGTTTCATGTGTTGGCAAAAGTATTTAACGCTCCGAGATAAGCCCCATTTGATCCCATTTCAATTTCACAAGTGTACATCTGCTCCTGTTAGAGCCTCTACTCGTCTAGGCTCAGGCTTTTCAACATTACGCTGGTGTTTCCCCCAATCTGTAGACACAAAGCTGGACACATTACATCGTTAGGGACGATTAGCAGTTCTCTGAATAGCACATGTTTGGCACTTTAATGCACATTTTATCATTCGTTTTTGGTTTTATTCTGTTATTAAATGTGCATTTTGATGAGTTACGCTTTGCTGACTTAGATGTATTTGCATGCTGCATTTTCCTTTCTACTTGTTGTAATTGCATTTAAGTCAGCTAAAGTCATATACGCTCACATATTATTGTATTTTTAAGCGCTAAGAATCCCCTTTATCGGAGCTAAAGTCCAAACTACAGTATTAAGTGCATCTTTGCTGCTACCTGTGCATTTGTAGTTCCCTGTCTTCACCACATGAGGGCAGTATGAAGTGAAGCATGCAGGTAATAAGATGCAACACATCTCATTCACATCAGAGACTTTAAATTGAAATTCATGAATTAAAATGCCATCAAAAAGCTCTATTTTAGATGTCATACATGTTGTCCGTCACAAATACGTTGCTTTCTAGCTTCTGTCTGGCTCTCCTCAACGTGCTCTCTCTTGCTCCACTCTGATCTGATCTGAGGAGGAGAAGCAGGTCACAGCAGGTCCTCTGCCCTGCCTACATTTCTCTTAACTATTCTCAATTCAAAATGCCTCTAAATGAGAACACACACACACACACACACACACACACACACACACACACACACACACACACACACACACACACACACACGCACACTTTGAGAGGGGAAATCAATTTAAAATGTCAACTCTTATTTGCAGGTTTTGGGCATTTTTATTTATTTAAATGTGACATATTGATATGTTGTTTTAGGCTAGGACATAAGATCATTTTCGCAACCTACAACTGCATATGTAATCCTTTTTTATGTGAAAATATGTGAGTTCGAAAGTGACATAACCCCAATGAGCAAAGTCAGTTTGTGAAAATAAAAAAGGACCAGATTCTTGATAAACTAATTTGAATAAATATCTATTTCTAAACGCATAAATCTGATAATCAATTGTTGAATCAGAAGACAGGATGGCTCCAAAATATGTTATTGATTGGAAACACATAAAGCTTAGGTAACTGTCCTCTTCCTGGTTTCCTTATCTCCTTCCCTTTATCTCTCTTTCTTATCCTCTCTAGTCATCTTTTTTCCTTTTCAGTTCCACATTTTTTCCACCTCTCGTCTCCATCGGTCCCTCCACCCTCTCTTCTTCTTCTTCTCTCTATGCGCTCGGGCAGATGTCTGATATTTCCCGTTGTTTGGACTGGCGGGGGTCTGTTTGTCTAGAGGAGACTAGGAATGCTGTGTATTCAGTGTTGACACGCGCACACACACACGCCAACATACACACGAGCATACACACACACACACACCACACATACACAACACCACTTACACACACACACAACACACCACACACACCCACACACACACACACAACAATCGACACGAGCACACACACACTGTTGGACACACACACCACACACAGCACACACACATCCACACACGACACAGCACACACACACACACACACACACACCAATACACAAACAACAGACACGGACACGGGAGCGAGAGAATGCAGCAAGGAAAGAAGCAAAATGGAAGTAGAATCTGGAACGAAAAAGATAGTAGCGATGAAAAGATAGTACAAAAGGAGTTGTGTTTGGGCAAGTAACCAGAGAAAATGGGGAGCAATTTCTTGGTTCGGACCGTCGCCGTATATTACGAAGACTCCTCAAAGGAACTAGTCCTGTGTTACGCGTCCTGGACTCTCCTGATACAATGTCAGGGTTCCGCAATCATCCAAAGTCATATCGGAGCCGTTAGTCTCCGAGCGTTGTTCGCCGTCATTATCTGCCTCGGTAGCTTTGGTAAGTGTAGTTGGAGTTGACGTGTGTGTGCCACTGCGCCACACGCCTCCACATACATCACTTCAGGGGACATTACATTGACTTGCATGCATTTCCTGGAGACTTATCCTAACCTTAACCATAACCAAGTCTTCACCCTAAAATGAATGATTCCCCTCATGGGGTCCTCCGTTATGTCCCCATAAGGGAGGCGAGTCCCCACACGTGACTGTGTTAACAGATGTAGGTCCCCACAAGGATAGTAATGCTAGGCCACACATACACACACACACACACACACAAACAGTATAATGTGCCACACACATAGTATAATGTACCACACACACACACACACACACACACACACACACACACAAACAGTATAATGTGCCACACACATAGTATAATGTACCACACACACACACACACACACACACACACACACACACACACACACACACACACACACACACACACACACACACACACACACACACACACACACTGGACGAAGACTTGGATTTGCTGTCCATGACTAAGCGTGCTGATATGCAAAACAAAAATGACCACTTTCTTGCAAAATATGACATCAGCTCCTGAATATTTAAACACCAGCAGGCCTCTGAAATACTATTAAGATCATAATTGGAAGTTAAATCACTGCTGAGGCCAAATGAAAGGTCTCTATGGTCTGCACAGCATTTCCATATTTTCTATATCTCTAAATAACTAAGATATACTTTATTCATTTTCTTCACAGAGAGCAAATGCTAACATGAGACAGAAAACAAACTCATATTTCCCACAGAATGAATGAGCTTCTCTGGAAACATGCGCGGAGTAGAAATGAAGTGTGGAAACGTTTCAAGGTTTCCCTCATATCCAGACGCTGAGCTGTTTCTGCAGAACGCTATCTGAAGCCCAAAGAGAGGACGCCTCGTTAGTATGAACACATCAGATACTTTCTCTATGTTGTGCAGCATTTTATACACTTTACCAAAACTCACTCCGACATATCTTTAGAAACTTCTGGATCCATGTAAGAATTTAAAATACATTTTATGTATTTTCTTAAACTTCTCCTTTTACATCATTTCTCTCTGTCTTCTTTCATTTAATGTTCTTTTTGCATCTGTATCCTCCAATCTGTCCTTTCCTTCCTTCCTTCCTTCCTCCCTCCTCGTGTCATTTCTCTCAAACTCTTTCATTCATCTATCTTTCCTTGCTTTCCCTTTTTCTATTTCCCATCTCCTTTCTTTTACCATGTGTGATCTCATCCAAATTATCTATGGTATCAACAAAGTACTCTTTTTTTGTTCAGTCTTTCTCATACTTTGAGTTCTGTCCCTAAGGTTACCTGATAACTCTGCTCGCACTTTCACAAGTCATCTGAAAGGTAATTCATTATTGACCTGAAAGTGTATCTTGAAAGCAAAAAATTACAACGAAACCTTTAATCATTTGTAAATACCAAGTCCATGTTAAATACAGTCATTCTATGTGGGCAGAGTAATGTGAGCTG